GATGATAAGCCTTAGTTTAAAGAATTTTTAGGAATTAGGGAACAAGTAGAGTATTTGCAAAGAATAACTACTGAAAAGATTAGGCAAATAATCCCTTCACACCGAGTACGAAGAGGAATATTGAACCCTCTAGGCTCTATTATTAAAATGATAACTGGAAACTTAGATCAGGAAGATGCTCAACGATATGAACAGTTAATAAATCAATTAGGTAATCAACAAAATTTCCACAAACAAGCGTTTAACAGTTGTTTTCAAAATGTTAGATGGACTCATTAATTCATCAGAAATATTACACAATAACTCAAAAATTATGGACGAAAGACTAAAACGTGTAGAAAAAAAAATGTTAAAAGACATAAGTACTAAAGAAAATAATGCAGTATACTCTACATATGTTTTAAGTTTATATAATCTTTTTGTAAGTAATTTTAGAACGCTTTATATAAAAAATAAGCGAATTAGAAATTGCTTTGGCTTTCACCAAAACCAATGTTTTACACATTTATTACAGATTTTAATTTATATATCACAGTCAGAAAATCTTATGTATCCACCCACTTGGGATAATTTAGTTAAATTAGAAGATACGATTAATGTTAAATCATACATGATAGACAGGAAAATAACTTTTGTATTAGAGGTAGCTTTAATAACCAATTCAACTTATAGTTATAATAAAATGTATCCCTTACCTATCTTTCATGACCCTAAAAACCTAACCTTAATAATCATTCCTAAATATCCCTATATCCTGGTGAAAGGTGTAACATACTTACCGCTTATACAGCCTTGCAAACAAGTCTCTGAGGAAAATTTATTATCTCTGCACACAAGAAAACAGGGGCACCGTATCCTGAAACGACATGCATTGAGGAGCTGATGACCTTCAAGGAAAACCCATCCAACTGTGACCAGAATACAGTAATTATAGAAGAGATTAACCCTGCGATCTCAACATCAATGACATCCAATTACATCATCAGCGTTCATATACAGAAAATATGTCATCAGAACGTATCCCATCCATTAAGCTGCTGGAGTTACAGTCAACAGTGAACTCTAAGGAAAATCAGAATCCAGTAAACTTACAAGGAATGGAGCTCAGTGACCGGCAACACATGTCTTACATGCTGTAACAACTTAACAGAGATAGTGATAGTGAAATGGGAAATTCAGTGAAAGTGAAAAGCATTAGTTTAGGCACTCTTTTATTGTATTTTGCTAATTGTTGTGTTTTTTATAAAAAATAAGATTATTAATATGTTGCAGTGGCGAAATAATCAGAATTTGCATGTGCAATCCCCTGATAATTTCGCTCTTAAGGAGGGAGGAGTTATATAATCCCGTGTGTCACCACCATAGGATAATTATATTTTATATAAACAAAAAACCATTGCAACATAGTAGTACAAAGATCCTTTATATTTCAATAGCCGAAATGCTGTTACATGATTTACGAACCACACTTACATGATTTACGAACCACTCTTAGTTCTTACTAAGTAACGTTTCCTTGTAGAGCGTGAGAACAATGTGTCAGCACAACGGTCACGTAGGCCTTTAAGAATAGGATATAAATATAATAGAATACTTGTAATATTTAGTATTAAACGGACCTCAAATCGGACCGGTTGTATTCATTTTAACTTTAAGTTTTTAAAAAACCCTTATTTCGCGGACCCACTACTTGACTATCTTGTATTTTGTTTACATGATATTCATGTAAACAAAATACAAGATAGATGTATGTACTATGACAAGGTAGAGAGAAGATAATTTTATCGACTCTTCGCCGGAAAGCGACCTATTTGTGAAGCGTATGGGTGTAATATTCTATGATTTTAAAATGTACTTAGAAAAGATTATTGGATAGCAAAAGGTTTTCTGTTAATTTTATAAAAAATAATTTAATTGTATAAGATTTTTAGTTGAAATTTGGCCATACATAAGCTGTAAATAAATAAATAAATGAAAAATTATTTACGATCCCAAATATTTAACGACGACAAAAAATATACACTTTGTATAATATCAGCACACTTTGCTTTGATAATATTACACAATTTACTATATGGCTTCATTTGATCCAGTTATACATCATAATTTTTTATTATATTAGACTCGGAAAATTTCGAAAATAAATTTTTCCCCCCAAAAAAGTGAAATGACGGACTTGTTTGTGATAATTACGGTACTTTTCCGACTTTTATGACGTCATTTTCCATTTGCAAAAGATCTAAAGAAAAATTTTTAATTTTCAAATCCAATACGTAATATAGGTATTTTACAGTTATTTTTATGCAAGGATGACTTTTTACACGCTCAATACAAATGTTATGAAACATTGTATTGATTTACCAGAAAACAAACATTGGCAAGTATTCAAATATATATTCAATCGGTTCTTACTTCTTTGTATAATTTTTAAGGATAGAAAATACGCAAAGAATGAACCCTGTAATTTACACACACAACTGTGTTTTAGTAGTTATTTTATTTCCGAACCAATACGATCAAATCAAGAAAAGAGCTTACCAATTCTTAAAAGGACGGCAACACACTCGAGTATACTCCTGCTCTATAAAAAAAATTAACAATTTTTATAGAAATTAGTAGTAATCAGGCTTGTATGAATCAAATGTTGTTAGACCAGTGCCCTTACTCAGAACTTCCAATAGCGACAGCACGACGATTTTGAACTTGCATAAAGTTCGAAACCTTGAGATCGCGCGGAACAGAAACTCATTGACATGTCGGCATTGCTATTGGAAGTCACACTCACAGAGTAAAGGCTCTGGGATCGTCAGCCACAGAGTCGGCACGAAGCGAGAGAGAGATTTGTTGAGTTTCCCCAAGGGAGTCGGTACGGAATAAGTTTAAGGAATTAAATATTATGACACTATCTGGTCAATCTATTTTTGAAGCCTTGTACAAAAAAAATAGAAACGATTTTAAAACAAATGGTGACTTTCAACAGTATAATACTCGAAACAGAACAAATCTAAGCGTACGGCCAACCAGGCTCCAGAAGATAAACCACTCCGTATATGGAAATTGTATTCGTTTTACAACAAACTCCCAAGCGAAATTAGAGAATTATCACTGAATAAATTCAAAGCTCTCGTGTCAATTAATCAATAAAGCTTTTTATACATTTGTCGAATATTAATGATCCTAATCCTTGTGATTGATTTGCTCCAGTTCAAATATTTATGGCTGACTAACAAAACAATTTCTATGACTCAAAACTTGTCGATTAAATAGTGTAATTTTTTACTTCTTGCCCACTGTACGCCCTTGACTTGCGACAAATAAATGTAAATTTAGAATCAATTTAACATCTTTTCTGTTGATGTTCATAAGTGTACTTGGTTACCTATATGAATAGTTATTTTGAGTTTGGGCTTGAGTTTGAATTATTAATACATAAGATAAGACATTAAACATCAAACTCGATTATTAAAATATAAATAACTACTTGACTTAATGTCCTCTACCTCTTGATGGGGCAGAGGGCATCCACAGTGAGTCTCTTCGTCTTTCCGGGTCTCTTTACCTCATCAGCCTCATCTGCTATACGGCGCCAGGTTTGCTTGGGACGGCCAGGCTTCCGCTTTCCTTGCGGATTCCAATCAAGCGCCTGCTTGGGAATGTAATTGGAATCTCTTCGGAGTGCATGGCCTATCCGTTTCCACTTGCGTCGCTTTTATTAAATTTAAGTATAAGATTTAGTAATGTTACTAAGCCAATTATTATTGCATATTAATAATACGTGATACTTTTCTTTTATAATACGCGTTATCACGCGAATAAATTTTATTCTGCAATTATTATTGTGAAAAAATAAATTCAAAAACGATAGATCGTTCTTTGTTTTAATTTAAAACAAATGAATCATGATGCGTAAGAAATATATAATTTAACGGTTTTCTGACTGTACAATTGGATATGCGTCAGACAAACATCTTGGAAATGAACTTATAGCTCCTAAAATATTCAGATTAAAATATACTAATTACTATTTAGTCTAACCAATCTTAGACTCACGTGTAAGTATGACTTTCGTGTGCCAATTCCAATTCGTTTTACGAGCGTCACTTAGCGTTAAGTCTCGACTCTGAATTTGGGGGTTTAAAGACCCTTCAATGTGACATAACAATAGTAAAGTGACGTAGTTACTTTTTTTATTGAAGCTGTTGGAAAGCTTTTATCAATAAAAAAATAACTGCACGCTGATACATTGGTAAAAGAAACACAATATACAATTTTTAATGTGACAAGCACTTATAGGAAAACATGGCATACACGAAGAGATAATACAAATATTAAACAATTAAAATTACAAAAAAACTAAACTAAAATCGATTTTAAAGTATGAGTATTATAAGTATGTCTCTGTAAAATTATAGTCTAAAGTCTTTAAACGTTAAAAACTAGGACTTGTTTTAATTACTTTTCGTATATTGAATATAAAAAAAAAGAATTCGAACATAAGTGGTGTGTTTAACAGTTACGAGATCCCATAACCCCAAGAGATATATAGATAAAGTACATATCGCCACTGTAGAATGATAACCTCGTGTGTCAAAAAACCATTTATTTTTTTATTCTAGGCTCTTATGTCATTTTACTGGTATAATCATGAAGTAACGACTTGTTTACGTTATTAATAAATAAGTCCGTTTTACCATCTAAAACTATGGATAAAAACACGTAACAGTATTTTAACGATCATAGACAAAATAACGAAAAAAATTTCGTATCCTGTAATGTTTGGTTCTCTGGACATACGAGGTTATCATACTAAAGCGACTATATACATATTTTGAAATTGACAACTACAAACTAACAAATTTAATTTTGACCAAAATGTTTATTAAAAATCACACAAAAAAGAAACAATGCCATTCACCTCATACGTCACACGTAAAGGCTAAAGCCCTGACTCGCCGAAATCTCATTTCAGATTCTGTTTACGATCGTTCGGACGTCTGAAAATGTCATTCAACTATTATCCGAAGAATTTTCGCGCCAACGGCTGGGGTTGGCATCGTACGGCAAACACAGCTAAAGCGGTTCGCGGGTTTTTGGATAGAGAAAGGGATGGTGAACACAGTGATATCGTTAGGAATGGCCTGTATCCGAAACTGCCATCGGAAGATGACTCCACGTTCAGTGGGGTCAAATTGTATCCCGCCTTGCCAGTGGAAGAGTATGAGAGTGGCGCTGTGGAGGAAGTAGTCGAGGAGGCGTGCGCGGCTGTCAATGTAGATTTGGCGGTAAGTTTTTGTTTTATATAAACAAAGGAAGTTTGGCTTCTGTAGTTTTTCTTTGTTCAATTGTTTATGTCACCCAACCAATGTATAAAGTTACGTATTTTATAGTGGATTCTTATATATGCTGTGTCATACCCCCAAATGAGCTATTGGGTATAGCAACCTTGAGTAATCACCAACCTAGACTGGCTCCGCCGGGATTAAATGCATGCTTATCTGAACGACTTGAAAACCCCAAGTGGCTTACCTGACCTATAATATATGATTTTCAATGAAATATCAAGATTTAATTGATATTGTTATTACTAATTTATAGAGATTAAATAATAATTAAATATATTATGAGTAATCAAGGATTCAACAGCCAACCTTACCCAATGAGTCATTCTAAATTACAGATAAGTCACCTTACTATTTCCGACTTCCTCAAAAGTAAATAAGACAAGTTTATAGTACTTAGATAATTATAATGATCATTACAATGATTAGAAATAGCTACTGACAGTTTAATTCACAACAATATTCAGTAAATAAATAATGTATTTTTCGAATTCCTAAAGAAATATATCTAAAATTAATCAAATTTTAATGAGACATTTAATTACTATTATGACTGATAAATACATGAAAGATATTTTAGCATTTCACTTTTAGATACTGTAAAAGTAGTACCGGACTTTTTAGTGCAATCCATACTAAGTAAACACTATCCTATAGGTATAAATAATATAATAACCTATGAAACAAATTCTTTTGAACAGCTGACCGGATTGTTAACCGACAATTGAATGACCGCGACCTTGACTCATAATAAATAAAAGAAAATCGTAACTTCAATTTTTTATCGTTCTAGGTACAGATAATTTTTTTTCTAAACTTCGTAGTTTCAATTGGTAATTTATGATATGTGTTTAAATGTTATTTGTGCGTAGTTTGTTAACCATTTACGACCTCTAACGAAATGCATCCTGTCGATTTAAACGAGAACGGTTTTGACTCAGCAACTGCTGAATATTTCGTTGTCTATGTATCTATTTATTTATTTATGAAAGTTCACCACATTATACAGTATATGTTACAAGCTTAACATAGCTAGCAAAAATCTGGCGTTTTTTTTTTAACATATACAATGCCATTACATGTTTAACATGCCAAGATTTCAAGAAAAACAGTTGAATGCTAATATTATACTCTTAATAAAGCAGATGAAAAGTGATTGCTTTGAACTCTGATCATTTAAATGCGAAATATTTAGTTACAATTATTCTTAACCTACATAGTAATAATAGTAATTCATAATTTATAAACAGAATACTGAAATAGAATACGCGGAGTGCAAATAGACCACATCTAACCTAACATCAGTTGAGGCCAAACGCGTGTCCAGTTCTGTATAAAAAAAAAAAAACTAAGAAAAGAAGTGGGGTGATATATGCGTATTTCTGTCACTGGTATATCTATATATTTGTGGTTAAAAGTAACGCTCTTGGTATATTTATACCAAAAATATACCAAGAAACTAGAAAAAATTGTTAGTTAATCTGTTAAAATTGTGTTTTCTTCAGCTCTATAAGAACGTTTAAGGACTTCACAATACTTCTATTGTATTGAAATGAAATGTTAAAATATAAAAATATGTTTATGATGATAAACTCAAAAACTACTGTACCGATTCCAAACTTTTCGCCATAACTATTCTGTCACCAATACTATTACTTAGTTAAATGTATTTAATATTTTTTATTGATTATTTAAAAAAACAAAATAATCATTTAATTCAGACCATTAAAAAGTCCATATATTGTTAGTAAAGTAATACTTATAACTATGTTAGTAAAATTAAAATTAGCAAAATTATTCAAGACACAAAGAAGAATACATTTAATTCATATATCTACGTTGATTCGAGGCACCAGGCACATGGGTATGTATATGAACCCAATGCCTCAAAACAGCACATTCGGGTTTACCTATAACCATCAGGACATTGTTAGTACTCGCACGAACCCCACGCATCAGTGAGGCTATCCGTTTGCGGATGATTGACGAAAAATCATGCACGTGTGCATCCGCAAACATACCTGATGCGCGTACAGCACCGCGGGAGCCCCAACAACATCCTGAAAGCATTATTATATTGCACTCGGAGAGCATTGAATGCCCGCTGCGTATATCTAACCCACAGTGCACATGTATAAAAGGACTGGCAAAACGCCTTGAACAAGGTTACCTTGACCTGTGCAGTACAACGGTAGAACCTGCGGGCCAGCATATTGCAGCGGACAGCCAACGCTCTCTGTTCACTTTCAATATCTGCATCGTCTTTAAGGTGCTCAGTTGCAATATGGCCAAGGGCCATCAATTTTTAACTCAGTAACCCTCTTCAGTGGAACAACCTCCGAGTGTTACTGGGGGCACATAAGGCCGTTTTTTTTTCCGCGCTAAAAAGACGAGCAGTCTTTTTTTTTAACATTATAGGCGCGCCCGCGGTTTCCCGCCCCCCCCCCCAAAGAAAAACAACCGCCGGCGGAGACCCCCCCCCGATGGACTCGACAGCGCCACCATGTCGTCGGCAGCCGACACGGCCACCGAGCGCCTCGATCAGCTCATTTACGAGTATATAAAGGTTGAAAAGGCCGGTGAGGTTAAACCCCCCTGCCTCACCCCGCATTCCAACCTGTACTCTTCCGACAGTGTATTTGACCATCTTACCTGATTGGTCTGACGCTCGTACCAATGGGAGAACAGGTCCACGTAAGGTCCCGGTACGCCAGTCTGCCCTCAACTTACCCCACAACAAGTCGTATCCTGACCAGGTCGAAAGCCTTCGAAAGATCAAGAAACACTGCATAAACAGGCGTATTCCTCTCCATATAGTATCATACCACATGCTTCAGCGACAGGATTGTACACTCGGTAGATAACATGGGTCTAAAACCAAACTGAGCATCACTTAATTTAAGAAGATTACTCACCTGCCGCCTCGAGCACTGCATCGAGTACCTTAGCAGTTATGGTTGCCAGGTGAGATCGGCCGATAGTTGTTACAGTCCGATACGTCGCCTGTTTTGTGTTTTTTAAATCGGGACAACGACCGTTCTCATTAAAGAACTGCGCAGATACGAATGTCTGATACAGAAGGTATATAAGAGCGCCAGCAATCTAGGCAAATGCGGACCAGCGTGTTGAAGGTGCTCAATGCTGAGGTGGTCATGACCAGGAGACTTGCCCTTAGTCATATTATTTATTATCATAGCTATTTCCTTTGCTGTTATCCGAGGTGGTACTTGCGAGGGTCGACTTGGATCCACCACACCAGCACCTGCACCCCCACTTAACTGACCAAGTGATTGTACCCTGAAATGGTTCTTAAACAGGTTAGCAATCTTCACAGGCTCACACTCACCATCAATGCTCACCGGAATACCAGCTTTCGGACTCAATTACCTTGTTTGTTTCCAGAAACCTCGGAAGTCTTTTTTGCTCATGTTTTGTAGCAAGAATATTCATTTTTATTTGCTCCTGGTGGTTTTGACAAAATTTAACCTTTTTTTTGAATAGTTTCAATTTTTAGTTTGAATTTTTCCTTTCTAAGTAAAAAAACCCTCGTTAACTTGAAATCCTCAGTAAGTCGAAAAAAAATTGGCATTCCATACGCAATATCTCCAATTATTTAGACTTTGTAACTCGAACAAAATGTTGTTTCCCTACGAAGTATTGATAATATACTCTATAACATATTTATACTCCATAACTCGAATTTCAAAAAGGAGACTCCGTAAGTCATAGTTAGTAAAATATAATGACGTCTCACTTGGAATTCCCTAGGAAAAATTAATGTTCAGGTTCGGGGCTTCTTATCAATTTTTTGTACATGTGCAATGAATGTATTCACTCGAAAAATACACTTAGAAATCGCGCCTCTGTACGTGGAAATTTCAGCAGTTAAATCATATGTATCTGGAAGTTATTAAGTCAAAAACTCGTTAACTCGATTTTTTTTAATTTCCCTTGACATTCGAGTTATAGAGATTCCACTGTATAATGTATTCCATCTTTGGCTATATCTTTATTTTGTTTTTTTATACACAATTTAAGTTAGTTGTAGCAGTACGATATAAATGAATACTACTAGCGACCTACAATCTGCGCTTACAAATCGCTACGATGAAAAGCGCTAACGTTGGAAGTTATTCTGGCCGCTAAGGACATAACTTCCCGACCCTAGCCACTGGGCCCAGCCAGGTAGTGGTTTGACTGGTCGAGAATCCATCCCTTACGTTGGAGGAACTTCGTCATCATCATCATCTTCATTCATCCATCCATAAGCTATATTTACAAAATATTTATTTAAGCCAGTAATAAATAAATGTACATAGTCCAATCTACTAATTATTTATTAATAATAAAATAAAAATAGGCTTTATTCGAGTACACTATAACTACAGTAAGTCCATGTCTTTTAAGTATTTACACTAGTAGGTACTCGACCTCCGACGGAGTGAGGGCCTCCTCCAGATTCTTCCATTTGTCCATATTTGTTGCAACAATTTTCCAGTTTTTCCAAAGAAAAAAAATTACTCCTAAATATCTCTTATACAATCGTGTAATATATTTTGATTGCAAACGTGTAGATAAACCTTATACTCAATTCATAATTATAAGCTGACCAAATCGTGGCCAGTGATCTAACAGTTAACCATCTGGTCTTACGAGTGCTATAAATATTTCTATTTCAAACTCTGACGTACATTTGTGTATATTGGAGTGTGTTAAGATCGTAAATGTACTGAAAAGTGGTTTAAATAATTTACTAACAAAAATTCTTTAAAGATTTTTTTAGCCTTTTGAATTTATTCCGTAATCCTACATATAACATATCTTAATATATATATTTCTTGTGTGCGTGTGTATGTGACTGAACTCCTCTCAAACGACTGGACCGATTTTGATGAAATTTTTTGTGTGTGTTCAAGGGGATCTGGGAATGGTTTAGATTTACAAATCAGCCCGGCAGATGGCACTGCAGTCGGTACTTTCATACTTTGCTTAATATCCTAATCGCTTTAAATATCATGCAGGACAACGTCTGTGGGGTCCACTAGTATTATATATAACAAAAACAACAAAGATATAGCCATAGATGGAGTAGTACTTTCAAAAGGAAAAAAATTATACATTTTATTCAATACTTTTAATACTGTTGATGGCTGTTCATTCATATCTAGTTTCTTTGTCGAAATTTATACAATCTTGTGTTGTTAGATACAGAACTAGGACTATATATGGAACTAAGTGAACTGTCCTACCTGTCCTACCTGAACCTACGGTCCTTGAAGAAAAAAATCGTACCAAATATTAAAAGGCCGGCAACGCACTTGCCCTCTGGCTTTGAGAGTGTCCATGGGCGGCACTTAGCATCAGGTGAGCCACCTGTCCGTTTGGTATATAAAAAACCGGAGTTATACTTACCGACTCGACTCTGAATAATGAAGTCAGATTTTACCCTAAGTATTTTAATTCGTTTAATATTATTTTTATTCGTTAACCTAATTGAATAAAGATATTTTTTTTTCTGAGCTGCATTTTTTTTTTGCAAGATTTGAGCAAGATTTAAAAACTATAGTTATTTTACTAAGTACATACTTGTTTTCGTCCAAAAAACATTCATGACGAATCCCAAATCCCAATCTAGACTTTATAGTAGTATTTAGATAAGAGAGTCAAGGATAGATAACATCGGCATGATGCATTCATTAATCCTGAACTGTCCAAATTTTTAATAATTTCTTAGTCACTGCATGTCTCATCTCTGTCTTTTGTGCACTCTACACTAGGTACCTATAGGAGTCTGAGTAACCTGACAGAATTCTGACAATTAAAACGTTGGTACAAATAACATTAGGAGCAGTGTTGGCCTAGTGGCTGCAGCGTGCGACTCTCATACCTGAGGTCGTAGGTTCGATCCCCAGCTGTGCACCAATGGACTTTCTTTCTATGTGCGCATTTAACATTTGCTCAAACGGTGAAGGAAAACATCGTGAGGAAACTGACATGTCTTAGACCCAAAAAGTCGACGGCGTGTGTCAGGCACTGGAAGCTGATCACCTACTTGCCTATTAGCTTTAAAAATTATCATGAAACAGATTCAGAAATCTGAGGCCAAGACCTAAGGTTGTAGCGCCATTGTTTTTTTTTTACATATAACATTATTGATAGTTCTAAATAGTTCTTCACTGTCAAGTATTATTCAAATTTCATGTTTAGCATTGTCCATTGTCTTACAAACTAAATAATATACCTATACCTAAGAGAAAACACGACAGTGCCTTCTTTATGTTTG